GGGGAGGCATAGGGAGGACTCTGGATGTCTCGTGTGCGCATTCTGAATTTGCCGCGCGACTGCACGGAGGAGCAGTTGCGGCGTCACATTGTCAAGTCGCTGCCGCCATCGGCGCCGCACTTGGAGATCACCGACTGCGCAATCAAGCGATCAAGTACGCCAGGTGGTAGTGGTGGTGGTGTCATTCGCATGGCGTTTGTGGGGTTTCGCAACGCCGCCAGTGGGCATTTTGTCGTTCGGCATTTCAACGGTACGTATTTTGGCAGTGCAAAGCTGCGTGTTGAGATTGCAAAGGGCCTCGGTGAGGTCGGCATCACAACGAACATGAAGAAGAAGCTCGAAAAGTCGCAGTCGCACCAGCAGCAGCAAGGGGCACCCGCAGCTCCTGCAAAGAGTGGGGAAGGTAACAGCAGCAGCGCAGTCACCGGTGGGAAGGGTGTCGTGGCGCCGACGAAGCGTGACCGCGAGGTGGGGCAGGACACACCGGCTGACGAGGAAGCGGAGGAAAAGGAAGCGCAGTCCCTACGGAAGAAGGAGCGGAAGGAGGAATTCATCGCAGAGCGCACAAAGGCCACGTCTGGGCCAACGTGGGCCTCGGAAGTGCTGGTGCCGGAGTCCGCGCAGGTCGACACAGAGGTGGCGGTGGAAGCAGCAGCAGCAGAAGGCGACGAGGCCTACGCGAACACCGCGGAGGAGGCAGAACGACAGGCGTTGGAGCGGCAGCAGGCGCTTGGCGAAGTGGATGACTTGGACTTCTTGGCATCACTGGCGAAAACGACGGCCACGACGGGAACCAGCAGCAGTAAGAAGAAAAACATCAGCTTTCTTGAGCCTGGGGATGAGGGTGACAAGGGAGAGCAGGATGCAGGCAACAGTAATGAAGAAAATGAAAATGTCGAGGATCCTCATGATTGTCATCAGCAGCAGCAAGAGAAGAATGGCACTGCGGCATCTTCAGTACCGGATGATCAGGAGGCCATTGTGCGCGAGAGTCGTCGCGTGCGAATCGGCAACATCCCGTTTATCGCCACCGAGGACGACGTGAAACAGTTCGCCTCATCGCTGGTGGGGCCGGTCGAGGCAGTCCATATTCCCCTCACGCGCGACACCCGGCAGAGCAAAGGGGCAGCATTTGTGAAGTTTGTGCACGTGGCCGACGCAGTGCGTGCACTGTCGTTGTGCCGCGGTGCCGTCTTTATGGGTCGCCTGCTGCGTGTCAGCGCCGCCGCCGACGACCCGTACACCAAGAAAGTGGAAGAAGGCGGTGGCACTGGTGCTGTTGCTGGTGGCACACAGGCGGGCGGCAGCGAGTTCAAGCGGCAGAAGGAACAGGAGCGGCGCAAGGAGAACGGCGCCGTGGTGTGGAATACGATGTACATGAACAGCCACACCGCGGTCGAGGCGGTGGCGAAGCGGCTGGGCGTGGCGGCAGGCGCGGTGGTCTCGGTGGACGCGCGTGGTGCTGCGGTGCGGGCCGCCATTGCGGAGGCGTACCTGACGACGGAGATCCAGCAGGTGCTGAGCGATGAGGGTATTGACTTCAGCCTGCTCGAGAGCGCGCAGCAGAACCTACTGAAGGCGCGCAGCAACACGACGATCCTCGTGAAGAACATTCAGGTTGCCACGCCAGATGACGCGGCGCAGCTGAGTAAAATGTTCCTGCGCTACGGCGCGCTGGAGACGACCGCGTTCCCGTCAGCTGGTGCCTTTGCGCTGTTCCGCTATACGCATCAGCAGGACGCGCGTGTGGCGTTCCAGCGGCTGTCGTACAAGTTGTTTAAGAACGCGCCACTTTTCTTGGAGTGGGCACCCATCGGTGCCATTCTGGACACCGACGATAACGACGATAACAACAACAAGACTGGGAACAAAAACGAGAACAGTAATAATAAAAACGACAGCGACAATAACGATGCGGAGGGCGATCTGCCACACAAGGCGGCCTTTGCGCCGGTGCTGACGCTGTTCATCACAAACATCCCCTTTACCGCAACGGAGGATGAGTTCTACACATTCCTGCTTGACGCCTGCCCACGACTTGCGAAGACGCCCGAGAAGCACGTGGAGCGGCTCGCGTTTGAGCAGGACAAGGGCCGCGCTTTCCTCACGCTGCGGGAGCAGGGCACATTTTCATACGTGCAGCAGCGGCTAAATGGGAAGAGTTTTGCTGGTCGCACGCTTGGGTGTGTGCTGAGCAAGCAGACAGCCGCTGCATTGCTGGCGAAGGCACAGTCCTCGGCCTTGTCATTGTCTGGCGCTGCTGGTGGTGGTGGTGGTGGTGGTGGCGTTGCCGCTGCAGATGATGATGAGGACGTGGCCAAGGCCACCGCTGTCATTGCCCGCCGTGGGGAAGCAGCAGGGCGCCAAGGCGGTCATGTGCCGCCTGGTTGCGACCCGCTTAAGCTAGTGGTGAAGAATGTGCCGTTTGAGGCGACGGAGCGCGACATACGTGACCTCTTCTCGGCATTCAGCGAGATACGCAGCGTGCGTCTGCCGCGCAAAAGCCACCAGTTCTCTAGCCACCGCGAGAACAATCACCGCGGTTTTGCCTTTGTGGAGTTCCTCTCTGCGGAGGAGGCGAAGCGGGCGATGGAGACACTCAAGGCGACGCATCTCTACGGCAGACACTTGGTGCTGCAGTACGCGAAGCTGGACGCCTAAGAGCGGGGGGG